CAGATGAGAACAGTTATTTGTACGTTATTTTAGTAACATAAAATGTAATAACACGACTATAAATATACAACACATAAATACTATGAAAACCACATAGGAGATCACACTGATACCAAAAAAAGAAAAAAAAAGTGTTAAACATTAGGGCACGAGAGATTAAAGCAGCAAGAAAATGGCTTCAGTAAGTTTTAAAATGTATGATTACACACATCTACACTATTTTCTATTTTTATACAGAATCAGCTAGAAAACAGATATTTATCTCATAGAAAAAGGTCCAGAGCACCATGTATTAAAGCTTTTGACGTCTGGACTGAAAGGAAGGAAAAAAATATATAAAAGTTGTACCTTTATAAGAACTGAAAAAAAAAAAGGAAGAAAAATGCATGTCATAAGTGGGTACCGATAAAAGCATTATTTGAAGGCAATCCATTCTCCATAGATATTTCTATCCCTAATTATGAAATAATTTAAATATACAAAAACAGAAATGCAGACACTAATGTTGGTAACACCAATGTACCAGTCACCAGTGTTAATAGGCAGTAATATTACGCATATTTGATTCAGAATTTAAGAAATAAAATATCACAGATACAGCAAAGTCCAAACACCCTACCACTTACAAGCTTCCACTTGTAGGTTAAAACACGTGGTATTTGGTTGGATGTAAGGAGGCTGGACTTGCTCCTACTTCCTTCCCCAGGAGTAGGCAATGTTCTTTTCTTTTTTTCTTTTAGATTCAGCAGTTACATGTGCTAGTTTGTTACTTGGGTATACTGTGTGACGCTGAGCTTTTGGGCTTCTAGTGAACCCATCACCCAAATAGTGAACACAGAACCCAAGAGTAAGTTTTTCCACCATTTCCCCGCTTCCTATTCCCTGCTCTTCGGAGTCGCCAGTGTCTACTGTTCCCACCTTTGTGTCCATGTGTATCCAACGTTTAGTTCCCACTTGTAAGTGAAAATATGTGGTATTTGGTTTTCTGTTTCTGTGTTAATTCACTTAGGATAATGGCCTCTAGCTACATCCACGTTGCTACAAAGGACATGGTTTCTTTTGTATAGCTGCATAGTATTCCATGGTGTATATGTATTTTCTTTATCCAATTTACCATTGATAGGCACCTAGGTTGATTCTATGCCTTTGCTATTGTGAATAGTACTACAACAAACATGTGAGTAAAGGTGTCTTTTTGGTAAAACAATTTGTTTTTCTTTGGGTATGTACCTAGTAATGAGATTGCTGGGTGAAATGGTAATTTTATGTTTAGTTCTTTGAGAAATCTCTACACTGCTTTCAATAGGGACTGAACTAATTTACAGTCCCACCAAGAGTATATGAGTGTTCTCTTTTTTCTGCAATCTCACTGACATCTGGTTTTTTTTGTTTGTTTGTTTTTGTTTTGGACTTTTTAATAAAAGCCTCAATGTTGTGAAGCTAGAATATATCATTTACAACCAGCACATGTTCCGTACTGCCCTAGGCCACTGAGATTATTACTCCATGCAGAACTTAACCTCTTTCTTTCCAAAGAGAATCTCATGACCCTTTAGGAACATTCTAAGTAAATATAAGATGACCACAACCACCACCTCTCAAATAGGTATAAAATACCAATTTACATTTCCAAGAGACCATAAAGATGCGAAGACTATGATGAAATATAATGAATAAACTTGGGCAAAGATCCTAGATTTCAGGCCTACTTGGAATACAATTTTTCTTGTCTAAAGTCCCAACTACAACAAAAATATTTCACCCTCATCACCATTTATTAAATGTCTCCTGGGCACAGGATCTGGGGGGGAAAAAATGATGCTAATTCAAAGAGTGGTACATGGACCAGCAGCATATCATGCTTTATTAGTCCACTTTCACACTACTGATAAAGATATACTTGAGAATGGGCAATTTACAAAAGAAAGAGGTTTACTGGACTTACAGTTTCGCATGGCTGAGGAGGCATCACAAACATGGTAGAAGGTGAAAGGCACATCTCACATGGTGGGAGACAAGAGAAGAGAGCTTGTGCAGGGCAACTCCTGCTTTTAAAACCATCAGATCGCATGAGACCCATCTGCCATCACAAGAACAGCACAGAAAGACCTACTCCCATAATTCAATCATCTACCACCAGGTCCCTCCCACAACACATGGAAATTATAGGACCTACAAGATGAGATTTGGGTGGGGACACAGAGCCAAACCACGTAATTCCATCCCTGGTCCCTCCCAAATCTCGTATCTTCACATTTCAAAACCAATCATGTCTTCCAACAGTCTCCCAAAGTCTCAATTCATTTCCGCATTAACTCAAATGTCCACAGTCCAGAGTCTCATCCCAGACAAGGCAAGTCCCTTCCACTTATAAGCCTGTAAAATCTAAAGCAAGTTCGTCACTTCCTAGATAAAATGCGGTACAGGCATTGGGTAAAAACAGCCATTCCAAATGGGAGGAACTGGCCGAAACAAAGGGGCTACAGGCCCCATCCAAGTCCAAAATCCAGCAGGGCAGTCAAATCTTGAAGTTCCAAAATGATCTCCTTTGACTCCATGTCTCACACCCAGGACACGCAACGCAAGAGATGGGTTCCCATGGTCTTGGGCAGCTCCACTCCTGTGGCTTTGCAGGGTACAGCCTCCCTCCTGGCTGTTTCACAGGCTGGCGTTGAGTCTGCAGCTTTTCCAGGCCAACAGTGCAAGCTGTCAGTGGATCTAACATTCTGGAGTCTGGAGGATTGTGGCCCTCCTCTCACAGCTCCATTAGACTGTGCCCCAGTAGGGACTCTGTGTGGGGGCTCCAACCCCACATTTCCCTTCCACACTGCCCTAGCACAGGTTCTCCATGAGATCCCTGCCCCTGCAGTAAACTTTTGCCTGGACATCCAGGCATTTCCACACATCTTCTGAAATCTAGGCAGAGGTTCCCAAACCCCAATTCTTGACTTCTGTGCACTCGCAGGCTCAACACCACGTAGAAGCTGCCAAGGCTTGACGCTTGCATACTCTGAAGCCATGGCCTGAGCTCTACATTGGCCCCTTTCAGCCACACTAGAGTGGCTGGGATGCAGGGCACCAATTCCCCAGGCTGCACATAGCACAGACACCCTGGGCTGGGGCCCACAAAACCACTTTTTCCTTCTAGGCCTCCAGGCCTGTGATGGGATGGGCTTGCTATGAAGACCTCTGACATGCCCTGTATACATTTTCCCCATTTTCTTGAGGATTAACATTCAGCTCCTCGCTGCTTATGCAAATTTCTGCAGCTGGCTTGAATTTCTCCTCAGAAAATGGGATTTTCTCCTCAGAAAATGGGATTTTCTTTCTACTGCATTGTCAGGCTACAACTTTTCTGAACTTTTACACTCTGCTTCCCTTATAAAACTGAATGCTTTTAACAGCACCCAAATCACCTCTTGAATGCTTTGTTGCTTAGAAATTTCTTCAGCTAGATACCCTAAATCATCTTCCTCAAGTTCAAAGTTCCACAAATCTTTAGGCTGAGGGCAAAACACGCCACCAGCCTCTTTGCTAAAACATAGTAAGAGTCACTTTTGCTCCAGTTCCCAACAAGTTCTTCATTTCCATCTGAGACCACCTCACCCTGGACTTTATTATCTATATCACTACCAGCATTTTGGGCAAAGCCATTCAACAAGTCTCTAGGAAGTTCCAAACTTTCCCACATTTTCCTGTCTTCTTCTGAGCCCTCCAAACTGTTTCAATCTCTGCCTGTTGCCCAGTGCCAAAGTCGCTTCCACATTTTCAGGTATCTTTTCAGCAACATCCCACTCTACTGGTACCAATTTACTATATGAGTCTATTTTCACACTGCTGATAAGGATGTACCAGAAACAGGACAGTTTACAAAGGGAAGAGTTTACTGGACTTACAGTTCCGCATGGTGGGAGGCCTCACAATCATGGTGGAAGGTGAAAGGCATGTCTCACATGGCAACAGACAAGAGAAGAGAGCTTGTGCAGGGCAATTCCCATTTTTAAAACCACCATATCTCATGAGACCCATTCACTATCACCAGAACAGCACAGAAAGACCCACCCCCATAATTCAATCATTTCCCACCAGGTCCCTCCCACAACACGTGGGTATTATGGGAGCTACAAGATGAGATTTGGGTGGGGACACAGAGCCAAACCATATCACATGCCAAACTCTAGACATAATGGAATCTCAGTCCTCATTTTAGCAAGATCCCAGGTAATGTGTATGCACATTAAAGTTTAGGGAGCACTCACTGGTTTAAAGAATTTAGAAATATGAAAACCTAGACTAAGGCAGAACCAAATCCAACCACCATTTTGCTAAACCTACCCTCTTCCTATCAGACCACATGGCTTTCAGGTGTTATCTCTGCAAAGTCCACACGTTAGTCTCATTAGACTGGTGGTAATCAAATGAGGGCAATTTTGTCCCTCAGAGGACATTTGGCAAAGTCTATAAATATTTTTGATTACCGCAACTTGTGTAGGGGGTTACTGGCATCTAGTAGGCAGAAGTCAGAAATGCTGCTAAACATCTTACAATGTGGAGGACAGCTCCCAAAAATAAATAATTATCTGGCCCAAAAGGTCAATAAGTCAAAGGTTTTTTAAAAACAAAACAGTAAAAAAAAATCCACCTGCAATTAGACCTATGATTTCCTGGCTGAAATGAATTGTTCTATTCAGTCATTTGATAAACTGATTTGATCATCCTTATCCAAGGGGGGGTAATATAAACCAAAAACCAAAACCACTTCATGCCCAAGCTCTCAAAGAGTTTAAGTTTCCCACGAGAGGCTGCAACCAAATCAATAATCATATTGTCATAAATCATATAAATCAATAATCATATTGACAACAAATAGCAAGTACAGTGAAACAACAAATGCACAAATTGGAATATTTCACAATTACATGAATTTAAGAAGTAAGTACAGATATATTTCCCAATAAAAAGTCTGGTGCTCACTGGTTTTTTTGTTTCCTATAAAGCAGGATCTTTAATGAAAAAACACTTTGGCCACTTCGAGACGATAAACACTCACTGGGCAAAACAACTTCACTGAAAAGAGACTTCATATTATGCAAAAAAAATCTTAAAAGGTAATTTTTTTTAATTCCTCAAGTATTATCAAGAGCTTTGTTAATTTCATCAACATGCTATAAAGGAATGATTCTTTTCTTCAGAGAAGGAATCACAGCTCACAATTAGGATGGTGGAAGGTGGTCTAATACAAGAGGAAAATAGGTCACGGTATATAATTACACAGATGAGTAACGAACTCAGAGCTGACTAAGCCTGCTTTTATTAAGATAAACGTATTTCTGGAATGAGCATTGCTTTGCATAGCCTTGTATCAATTAAATTCTGCCCAAAGAGAGAACCCTGAGGTTATAGGTAATATATGGCAACTTGAAAACACTTCATGCCGCACAATCCTAAGCTATTACACTGCACTAAGGGACAAGTGCACTCACTATCTAAATCAGATTGAATCTTTGGCATTGACATCCTAACTTTGCAAAAAAAAAAAAAATTGTTGAAGGAAAGCAATCTACAAAATGCTCCCACTACATTTTAATAACTGTCTTTGGGTCTCATAAATCTCATTCTGCCATGTTCTTTAATTATGTTACCAAAGACTCCAAAGTGATAGCAGACAACGTAGGCTAAAACATTTCAGACCACTTCATTCTCATGTATCTGGATTTGTGAAACAAGGTCAAGTTTCACCTGAGAAAATTTCAAGACTTACACTATTACACAGTAACCTCCCATTTTTTTCTTGTTTTTGTTTTTTGTTTTTTGTTTTTTGTTTTTTGAGACGGAGCCCTGCTCTGAAGCCTAGGCTGGAGTGCAATGGTGGGAGCTCAGCTCACTGCAACCTCTGCCTCCCAGGTTCAAGCAATTCTCCTACCTCAGCCTCCCAAGTAGCTGGGATTACAGGTGCATGCCACCACACCTTGCCAATTTTTGTATTTTCAGTAGAGGTGGGGTTTCACCATGTTGGCCAGGCTGGTCTTGAACTCCTAACCTCAGGTGATCCACCTGCGTTGGCCTCCCAAAGTGCTGGGATTACAGGCATGAGCCGTGCCCAGCCACAGTATCCCTTTTTAAAAAGTTTAGCTATATATACAAATCTTTCTTAAATGTGATCTCTAGAATTTAGGAGCATTGTTTACATTCCTAAAGCCTCAAAGTTAACATAACGACAACTTTCACTACAGAAATTCAGTGATAATATCAGAAGTAACCATCAATGAGCAGGGCTCCACAAACAGACACCTACACAAACTGGCTCACCAGAATGCCTGCTTATCCAGTAATCCAGTTAATCATCATCCAGAAGTCTTGTTCATCTTTTAATATTTTTTCTGTTGCCTATCTCTCATCTTTAATGGACTAGCATGAGCTGGTAAGAAACAGTGAATCAACTGAGAAGTGGGCAGGGAAGGGAGGGTTGCTGAGCACACTAAGAGCTTCTTTTCTGATTCTTTTGGTTCTTATTTATTTTTACATTTTTGTATAAAATCAACATGAGGATAAAACGATTTCCTTCATTTGTGAAAGATCTGAAGTTTCTGTAGGTCCCTGTATCAGGACATTAAATCATCTCAGTCTACACTAAAGATAAGGAGAAGAGACTAGGCAGATATCACGAGGTCCAAATGATACATGTCTTTTTTAATGATTTTGTCCTATTTTTCATCCAACATATATGCCTGCCTTTTGGTCTCAATATATAATTTGGTCTTACTTGCCTTAAGAGAGTTTCTTTTCCTCACATCTCTCAGTCCATTACTGCTCTGATCTGCCCTACAGAAAAGGCTGCCAAAAGGTTCAAGTGTCTCAAGCTCTGAGACACTTGAACCCGTAAGACAGAATGCCCTCATCATTAACCCCACTGCTTTAAAAAAAAAAAAATCAATATTTAAGAGTTCAAAAATTACTACCAAGAGGAATTTCTCTTTAGCTTATTCCTTTAGAGTGTTCCTTTAAGATGAAGAAATCTGTCCTGGCATGAGCCTCTGCTGTATCAAACCGGACAGTGGCACAGGGTAGCAGAGGCACCCAACCAGCATGTCTAAAACCTCCCATCCTAAAGTGGAGTCTCATCTGCAGTTGCATCAAAACTGCCAAAATAGCAGTGTTTGTGGAAAGGGCCCAGGTAAGCTGTGTGCATTCACTCCGTTTCAGGAGGCAAAGCTGCTCTAGAAGTTTACCTTGGTCAATCATTCCCTTCCATCCAGCTCAAAGTGGTGGGAGCAGTGAAGGGGAATGATGTATACCATCAGGGCATATGTATGTAGATTCCCAGCAACCTGAGGAATCTGAGAGCAGAGTTCTGGACCTGCAGCATTAGGCCACATGCAGAAATACTGCAGCTCAAAAATACGAAAGACTCTGAGGAAATAATTTTATAAGGGTTTCTATAAGAAAAGGAATTATGTCTCTCATTCTATGGGATTCACTATTTCTACAAATAGTGGCTTCTATAATATTTCCAAAAGGAAAGGAATTTGGCTCTCATTAAATTATTTCTTGGAAATTATTCAATATTTCACCATATAATTATATATTACATAGTTAATATTTCTGTTTTCCAAAATAACATCTACAGTTTTTTTATATTTTAAACTCAAGTGAATCCCACAAGTACTTAGTACCTACCATGAGTAGGACACCACAATGGCCAGGCGCTGAGGATCTGGGGGTTTTGTGCCTAGGACTGGGAAACCAAATTAGACGTGGGAATATAGCAGCATGCATTCTCTCAAGCTCTGCAAGACTGGCATTTAAACCAAAATGCATCTAACTGTCAAGAGACAGTTACCAAACAAATTAGTTACCAGACACAGACTCTTAGTCACAGTAGACAGTTAAAAATGGAAAATGTGCTCCCCCTCCCTTATCTTTCAAAATATGAAACAGGCTCGTAAGGAGAAAGGTGATAGAAGACCTACAAAGAAGCAAATGAGTACAAACCAACTATGCCCAGAGCCAAGCACACAAGGCTACACGGAAGAGGAGGAATAGTGCTAGAGAAAGGTTTTGTGGAGGAAGTGATTTGGGGTACTCATTCCTTCTACAGGGAGTCCATAGACTGGCAAAATCAAGTGTCTATCAATATTTCTATTTTTGTCATAAAGCAAAAGGAAAGCACACAGGAAAGGAAGATACATAGAAACCAGATATTCTTGTGTAGGAAGCAGCACACAGGTTTACATGGATGTACCTTTTTTACGTGGAACATGACTATCTCATATTCCATGTTTCAAAATATCTCTTCGTCATGCTTAAATTTATTGACCTAACTTGTCCTTCACTGTGATATGCACTGTGCTGGCACCACAAATACAGATGAAAAAGATGCATTCTCTGACATCAAGGTACCCACTGTTCCCACAATCTTTCTTTCCCTTGATCCCTGAATAAATCCTAAGAGCAAGGGATTCATGCTTTGTATTTCCAGAGTGCATATTCATTTATTTCACAAATATTTTAACTAATGTCCTAAATATTATGCAAAGAATACAAGAGTAAAAAAATGGCATGCTCTTTCTCCTCTGAAGGAGCCTGTAGTAGTGGAAGAGACAAACAGCTGGAGAGGAGTGTTGAGATAAAAAGTGTGGAAAGAGGAACAACAAGATTTGAAGAGGAAGTGTTGAGGGAGAAAAGAACAAAACAGGATACATAAAGCACGAACGCCTCAAAATCCACCCCAAAAACCAGCCGCTCAGAAAAGTTGAGGATTCTAAAAAGGAAAAAGTGGACAGCTAAAAAGCAGAAGGACTTGAGGATACAGAAGAAAAGTTATGCCAATCAGGAAGGTATGGAAAACATTGTAACAGATGAAAAGTCTGTGCAAGGTCCAGACAGGCAGAAAAATCATCCGAACCTAAAACGAAGCAGAAGGGCCCGGACAGCCAAAAGAAACCTCAAGTGCTTGGGGGTGGAGAAGCTGGGAGGCAGCAAACCAAAAAAAGAAAGGACCTTCAAACATTAAGACTTCGGGACAATTCTCCTGAAAGGGCAAGGACAGAACGACCAAAAAAGGACCGTTTAAGTAGGATAATTAGGCAATTGCTCACATGTACAAGGGATGGCAATAAAAAACTTTGTTTCCAATAACATCATAATAACCTTTTGAAAAATTTAAAAATTCCTAGTCGCTTCCTCTCGCCGCCCCTAAAATCACACTTCCGACACTTCAGGTGAAGAATATAACAGGCGACTCACACATATAAAAAAACAAATAAGGAATTCTGGATACACTCCTAAGCACACGGCACTGTGCAATAAAACTATGTCGAACCACACATATGTAATTTAAATTTTCTAGCAACAGAGTCTTAAGAAAATTAAGTGAAATTTAAGATTAATAATATACTTTATTTAATAGAAGAATCTGTAAATATTACTTAACATGGATCAAATTATATTGAGAAATCATTGATCTTACAATTTTTTCATTCCAAGTCTGCAGAAAGTCTAGAAGGTGCATTTTAATACTTAACAGAATCATCTCAAATCCTGGACAGGCCCATAAATTCAAAGTGCTCCAAAATACCTACACAATTCAGTGGCTAACCATACTGAACAAGTAACAGAATGTAGAATGTACTTTGGGAGCATTTTCTCAGAATGTTAAAACGCACTTTTTATCATTGTGATTGTTTTCTAATTTGTAAAAATAATGCAAATCAGTTTTCATGGGAAAATAAACAAAAAGCTCAAATATTGAAAGGCTACCCATATCCAATACCAAAATAACCAAAAGTTAACATATTGAATGTAATATCTTGTTAAGACACGTCTTCAAATGTTCCAAACAATCATATCGTACGAATACACTTGTCTAAAAAGTAAGGTCTGTCTGAAA